GGGTCGGTGTTCAAGTTCCAACTCATCAGCGGGGCATTGTATGTCCTAACTTTCCATCTTTTATAATCACTTTTATTAAGTTCCATCGCAACCGCTCCACCGAGACTATGCCCTACAACCTTATCAATCAAATACCCGTTCCTTTGTATATAGTCGTTTGCCGTCTTGTATCTTTTGGAATGACTTACCATACGAAAGGGTATGAATAGGTCATCCATAACGTCCTGTGGTAAATCCTTTGTCCCCGCTATGTATAAAGTCCTGTTGTCTGGATGGTAGTATAGTCCGTTGTCTGTTGTGTTGTTGTATGCCTTCTTCAGTCCCGTTTGGTCGTTGATGTTGTTGTTGGTTTTCTTTGGTATATCTTGGCGCTTTATTAGACTGCTCTGTTTCTGGCAGTATTCTTTGTTGAAGGTCTTGCTATCAATCTCTTGGAAAGGGTTGAAATTTTGAACCCTTCCGTCTACCTTGATGTTCTTGTATCCCCTTTTCATATATAATTACGATTATAAAAATAGTTTCTACGTTTATGTATATTATTGATGTCCAGATTTAAGAAGATATACATTGACAGCCATCACAGGACTATCAATTCCAACAGTTCCAGCGACTTTGAGATTTACCTACCGGAAAGTCAGGAATGCGGGGATGACACTAAACTCTACGTTCATGAAATCACCATCCCTAACAGCATCTATCCCGTTCAGGCGGGTCTGAATAATATTATGTATTTTAGACTTACGAACTTCTCATCAACGAGGGATGTTTAAGGTTTCCATTCCTTCCTCTTCTTATGTTGGCGCTACTCTGGCGACGGCGCTACAGGTCAATCTAAAAATTATCACCGACGGGTTCTTAGCAAATAACGATTACTTCACCATAACCTACGACTACGACACTAACAAAATCTATATCAATTTGAATTGTGTTGATTTTTCCTTCAGGGTTTTACCGACTATGAGATGTATTACAACGTCATTCTTTGGGAAGGTGATACGTATGATAAGGGAAACTTGATGTCCTTAAATCAGGTCTTGGGAAACTACACGCCGGCGTTGAATAGTTCCTCTTGGACGAGTGGGTGCATAACCCTTCTGGCGTTGAGAAACGTTTATTTGGTTTGTAGCGAATTGTCAGATATATATATTATAGTCCAATGACTGACAATATGAAAAAGAAATGCTCAAAATGTAGAAAACTAAAGTTGATGGAAGACTAAGATGAAGGTAAGGCACTATGTAAGAAATGTAGCGAATATAAACAACAACACAGAGAAAACCATAGAGAAGAACTACGGGTCAAAGCAAAGGAAATCTATGAACAAAACAAGAAACAAATACTTAACAGAAACAAAGAAAAAGTTGAATGCCTTATATGTAAGGTTGAAATAGGGAGAAACAAAATGAAAAGACACGAACGAAGCAAACGACATCAAGACATCAGACATTATGAACAAGACAAAGAAACCAAACAAGAACCAGAACCTAAAAACATTGAAAAAGAAAAAGAACAAGTAAGAAAACAACAAACGATAGACTATATTAATGAGACCTTTTCTTCATTCATACCAAGAACTCGGAGCATAAGTACAACCCATAAAAAAAATACAACCTATAACTACAGCATAGTTACAACCCATAAACCCGAACCTCAAAATAAAACATAACAACCTAAACAATCATTCACCTCATCTTAAAACAAATAGCCCCAGAAAAGTTAGGGACTAAAATGTCTTAGAACATACAGGACAAAAAAAACATCAAAGGCAAGGTTCATAGGTTGAACTTCAACATAAAAATCCTATAGGGCAACACTCAACGAAAACTGGCCCAGCATCCCTCTTATATCATTTTTTGGGGGGGGTCTTTGGCGATGCTCAGTGCACATGAACCTGTTCACCCAAGCTGCCGCGCGAAGCGCAGTGGCCGAAAACCACTCTTATTGCTGTCAGCTGTCAGGCCGACAGTAGCTTCGGAGTTGCTCTCTCTCGAAAAACGCTGCGGCACACCTCTGGCATGCCAGCTGCCTGCCAGAAACGCATGTTTTTCCAAAGGCAGCCCTCTGGCAGGCAACTGGCCGGTTGCCTGCCACACGGGTATAGGTTTTCCTCTGCAAGACGTGGCTTTTCGGTAAAAGGGTCCTCTGGCAGGCGCCTCTTTCGCAAGCAGTTGCAACGTAAAAGCTTGCCCTCTGGCAGGCAACCGGCCGGTTGCCTGCCAGAGGGGAAGGTTTACAAAACCGACATTCTCTGACGGGCAGAATTTTGGAAACACGGCTGGGAAGCTAAAGGTGTCTTTAGGTTTTTGGCAGGCGACCGTCCGGCCCTTCCAGCGAAACTGGCGGTACCGAGCAAGACACAAAATCGGAGGCGCGCCTTTGTCAGGGCCGGCCGGCTGCCTGACATAAGGATTTCTTCCAAGAAAGATTGGCGAAGTTGGGGCTCAACCTGCCGATCGAGGCTTGCTACTGCAGGCCCGCGACCCTGATTTCAAATGCCGTGTTGACAGGTTGCGGGGTAAGCTCTTCCAAGGAGAGCCGGGCGAAAGGACAGAGGGCCACCAGTCACCAGTGCGAAAAGGCAAAAAATAGCTAATTATATCTCTCCCGGTTGTTGTGGTTCAGCTCATTTTTGTCAACAGCTGCCCACCTAGGGTCACTGGTGTTGTTCGGCGCGGCGAGCTGCCAAGGGCAGCAGGTGGGAATGGAGCCACAGAAAAAGCTTTTCGTTGCGCAAGCACAAAGACTGAAGAGCGCGTTTGGGCAAAAGCTTTTGCTTTGAATCCTTGTCCATTCAAATCAAGAGCAAGAGTGGGAAGGTCACTCTTTGGGGCCACTTTGGGGCTCCGTTATCTGGAGCCTCAAAGCGGAACCGAAGGAAGCTGACCAAAATTGATCGCAAACGCATGCTTTGGTTTCCAGTCTTGTGCAAGGGATGCTCTGGGCGTCTTAAGAGCCACAGCAAGAGCGCAACACTTTCGTTAAAGCTGTCGTCAGGTAGCAGCCGGGAAACCATTGATTTGCTATTTGCTTCGGGGGCCACCAATCAGCAACTCGGCGGAGCGCGCTTTTTCTGCGGCCTTGCCTTTTTCTCTAGCTGCACCTGCGAGCCAAAGCTGTCAACCAGCCTGCGCCAAGGTTGTGCGTTTTGGACAGCAGTGACGGTGGATTGTAACTCGCACTATCCCCAAAGTCTTTCCACAACCGGAAGGCGCTTTCGCAACAGGATCTCCGATTGCAGAAGTGATGCGGGGCATGGGAGGAGCTGCTCGGGCAGAGAGTCGTGCAAGCGTTGCTTTTATGAACGCTGGTTTAGAGGAGCTTTGAATCTGCTGAGAGCGGGCCAAAAGCCTTGGATCACTGGGCGGGTTCTTGGCATTTTTTGTTTGCAGACTACGCCTAGCCTCCCTCTGTCTGAAGGCGCGTGGCCAATCAAAACAAATCGATTTGGGGATCCAAACCGCCCGGTTTTGTTTCCGTTTTCCTAAGTTGGCAAGCGCATTTCCAAAACGGGCGCTTTGGAACCCTGTCGTGGATCTGCAACACCATGGGACCACTCAACAAAAGAAAAGAAACCGCAGCAGCGTCACCATTACGGAGCAGAAAGCGACAGCTACGATTGCAGAGACAACAAGGTTCCAACATTTTTGGTGGGCAACCTGCGTCTTTAGACGGGCAGCCTCTGCACTTTTCTTTGGACCATTTCTGTCCTCTAACCTTGGGAAGCCTTTGCCTTGGGAATCTCTGTAATTCTCTCTATTCCTCCCAAGTGTTAGTTCCCGGTTCTGTCCGGCATGGCCTCGCGTGTTTGGGGGCGAGGCGTTGGCAGGATACCTGTGATTGCGCGGGGATTTGGATAGTTTTTTGGGGTCCCAGGCCGGTTTCTGTTCAACCTCCCTGCACATTTATGCATGCATTTAAGTGTAAATATGCGTGTATGTCAAAAGCTAAAAGTGTAAAAACAATACCCAAAAGCGTGTCCAGCTTGCAAACTCCTCTGTGTAGACGTAATCACGTATACGTCTAAACTGGAAGCTTGACATTTCATAAATGATATCAATATATAAATATTTTTGCAGCCCTGTGGCTACGATAACTGTGGATTCGGTAGGGCTTCTGCGCGGTGTGAGGCACGCACTGGAGCAGACCAAAAGTTTTCGGCTGCGACGAAAAGAGCTGGCCGTTATCTCAGAGCTCCCAGGCCGAGGTGGTGACATTGGGGTGGCGGGCGTGGAAAAGTTTTGATGCGGCAGCCTATATCTAGAAGGTTGTCTACACCTACTCCCCGTACATTCAAATTCTCAGCGAACCTTTTCAGACGAACTGCATTTGAAACCCAATATGAGCAGCGCAACTCTCGAAATTACACGCGCTTCCCAGGCTTCCCAACAATCAGCATGTTTGAGGCCAGCCCTGGGAAAACGACGCGGATTCTTTCTTGATGTCCTGCCCCTAATTGGGGGTTGAATGGAATTTGCCGGTGTGGCGGTACAAGCCATATAAGTACATAAATCCCTTGCAGGCTTCCGGCGCAAGAGAAATAAAAGCAATCATCCGAAAACTTACAGGTGTTTGGGCTTCTTCTCCCACAGCCCGGGTTAGTTTTTCTCGGTCTTGGGCCATTGGTCAGGCAGGCTTGCGCTGCGATCTGTTCCTTGAATTTTGAACCAAGAAAAAACATTTGATCAGGTCTACCACGCCAATCTGTTGTCTGTGAACTGATCCGTCTTGGCGATGTTGGTAGGAAGTACGAGTAGAAAAATTCAATCTCCTTTTGGATTTGGGACGGGGACATGCTTGCATCTTCCAAATTTGGCGACGGGCTCCAGCCAAATATCAACCAAATAAAGCAACCTTGCAGAATGCCTCACCAAGCGTACGTAGCAACGTCTGATAGACCTAAGAATAAACAAATGTAAACAACAAATCTTAGATCCTAAGGGACCATGTGAGGGCAGCCAAGTTCAGAGTCAGGAAGAGGTTCGAACCGGTTCAAGCGGATCCTTGCAAGCCGGTTGAGACTGGTTGATCCGAAGGCCTGGGGAGGCAAAGTGAGATGGAGGACTACAGAGAAAAACCACTTGCATTGTATGAGTGCGCTATATGTAAGCAGTAAACTAGTGCGAGTCGGCGAAGTGCCAGTCGACCGTTTGACAATCGCTCCTCTTGTCACTTGAGCCAAACGTAAGAGCGAAGTATGTACAGAATGGATACTGCACTGCATTTTCCGGTCCTGCTACTAGCGCAGCACAAGTTCCACGGCAATGCGGGCGCATCATGCACAGGCAGCCTCTGGAACATCAATGGCTCGTACCGAGACCAGTTCATTTCGATCAAGGAGCTGGGCTTGAAGACGCTCCCGCACCTCTGCTTCGACCTCGCCGGACCGCCTCCACAGAATCTCTCGCACCCACGCACCGGACAGCTGAACACGTATCTCAACTTCTTGCTGACGAAGAAACAAGGAGGGTGAGGTAGGTCAACTACCTTGCTCCACACTCCACTGCTGCTCTTCTCAAAAAGCCACACGCCAAAACTTCTTCCCAGAAGCACAAGCGCTGCAGGCGCGGCACACATGCCAGGCAAACAAGCTCATGGGCTCCGCAATGTATACTACAATGATATGGCACTTGACAGCTCCCCTTTGGTTTCTTCTTGCAGGCGCTTGGATCAAGGGGCGCTGGCAATCTGGTCATTTCTCTCTGCTTGAAGACAGCAGCAGCGGCTCGCGCTGGTTTCTTTGCGCCAAGTTGGGAAAATACATGTGGCTACGAACTAACACTGCCACCTGCGGGCCACAATACCAGACCTGTCCGTCTAAAACGGCGCACCACTTGACGTGAGAAGAACCCCCGTCCCATCGAAACCATAAAACCTAACAGCTTATAGGCACATGAGCTCACGCAATGATTACCCGTGGTGGGGTTGCAGGGGCTGGGCCTGCGGGCTCTGCGAATTCCCGCCCATTTGGGGCGGTTGCTCCCGGTTGCTGGCCTGTTGGTGCACCCCTGTGTCCTGGAACAACGCCCGCCTCCTTGAGAGATGCTCACGCGGCAGGCCTTCAAGCCAAGCTCTCTCTGTGATACAAAATCTGGTTGCTGCGGTTGCCACTCCAGGTGCGGAGGACCCACTGTGGAATCCTTGTGCTCAGGGCGACGCAGCCACCCAAGCCGCGGATATTGACGTAGCACCTGGGTCGTCCCACTCATGTCATCTGTGCCCGACATCTCAGAAAGTTAGCCGTCGAGACCCATGGGTCTAGGTCGGTAGGATGTCTTTCTTCAAGGTCCAGCTAGTCTCTGAGCCCAGCTCGTAGCAGAACACTACGGCTGATAACCTGCGAGTCGGTGAAGTGTCGGTCGACCGTTTGACAATCGCTCCTTTTATCACTTGAGCCAAATGTAAGGGAGAAGTATGTACAGAATGGATACTGTATCGGTATATGCAGTGTGCATACTACTCCTGCGCTACTCGCAATCAGAGCTTCAGACCCAATCTTTCAGCCTGGCATCAACTTGTACCTGGCTGCTTCACAACTTCACAAGCTTATGTGTGTGGAAACGAATGTGGCATCCGACTTGCCTTTGAAGTTGCCATTTCGCTGAACTCCACTTCGACTAAAGCCAGCTGAATGGTTGCTGCAACAATGAGGGTGAGTTGACAGGAGACTCACGTACAGCTGTCACTCTAAAGAAGAAATGGGCATGCCAGTTCAAAATACCGTGATAAAGCGAGTGCTCATCTTCCAGTAACAAAATTCAGCAAAAGGTTGCCTTGTTCCTTGTTCCTAGACCTGAAATAATACTCTCGAGTTTTTGAGCCGAAGAAAAAAGGGGCTGGTAGTGAGTATGAACAAAGCTTGAGCAAACAAAGCACGGGTCAATGAATCTCAGTGAACGAAATTGCCACTCTTTCTAGCTTGACCACCGGCGCCATTTAAGCTTGGCATGCTTTTAATTTGAAAGTGCTATACAATTGAATTTCTAGCGGCAGTCTTGATCAATAGCGTAAAAAACAAAGAAAAAAACAGTCTGCCACTGCACAAGCAAAGCGAGAATTAAACATACACCGGAGTCACCGGGGCGATCATCTGGAAGGTCAACGGTTCCCTGCATTGACCCTGCTCCACCTCAGTTTCCATACCCGCAACGCATCTTTCCAGTGCATGTAAGCTATTAGCGGCTCGACCTGCCTCCGTGGCCAGGGTCTTGGAAAGATTCCGCTTGGCCTGCAGTGTGCATTGTTGTGGAAACATGGCCGGGCAAACCATCACACACAATGAGGTGATGAAGGAGAAGCAACCTACATTACAGTAGGATAAACTAAACTTACTGTACACAAGCCCCCAGCCACACAACCGGATATAATGCCACACGTGACATTTCTCCTGTTCAACATGGATCGATTAAAAATTGTCACTGACAGCATGTGTTTCTCATGAGCATTTCGCCAATCATGTCCATCTCGAACCATGGCTGGGACGAGGGCACATCATATTGCAGGAACTTTGGTTAGAAATCTGCCAGTATGGACATAGGGCTTGGCTTAAACAATCACACGGCAAACTGCCTGAGGAGAACCGAAATGCCAGTACGATGTTTGCCACCCAAGACCAGCGAGCACCAAACACATGATCAAGGTACAACACCTGCTGCCTATGGTTCAAGACCAGTAGCATTCAGACCCACTGGTAAAAGGGAGCGTAGACTAAAACCATCCTCCAAAATTTGGGTACATTAGAATATATACGTTAAAAAAAGAACTGTATAGAATCAAGAGCAACTAGAAAATGCATGTAGTATAGGATCGAGCTCACAAGATCAGACAGACATGTCAGGAAAAAACAATAGGCAAAAACATGACTTCTGTAGAATCAAGATGCCTGAGGATAAAAGCCACAACAAAAAATACATCAATGGGACGCAAGCCCCGTGATTCTGGAGTAGCTACAAGGGCACAGGAATTCCTCAGGCCGGCAAAAATGCTGTGCAAAAATTGAATGCATAGCTTTGTTTTGAAATTGGTGTGATAGTGGTTCAAACTGGATATTGCTTAACATTTTGTTAAAGTACTCTTTTCTAAATTGGTCATCTTCTGGCACTGGCATGGTTTGCAAACCATTTGCAAAGCCAAGGACTGCGAAATAGAAACACAAACTCTTTCTACCTCTTCAAGCCTAAAACCTCTATAGAATCATAGGACCTGAGTTTAGAAGAAAATGGAAATGCAAAAAAAAAGGAAAAACTCAGCTGCCACAACCTTCTCTTGTGCCTGCACACCCTCTTACCTAAAAATGGTGATTTAGACTGCCGTGTTTTTAACTTAAAAATAGTAAGGTTTTTGGAGCATAAACTACCCCATTTTAGACAGGTTAGTTGCAAAGGGATCTAAAATCCTGGGATCTTTGGTTCTGCATCACACAAACACGACGTACCAGTGGGAACCAAAGGGGGCTGCAAGGAAGGAGACCACCATGAACCCCAGTGATTGGGACGAGAAGCTTCACCCTGCAACCAGGAACACCAGCATCATTCCATTGCAAGGACTATGACCATTTGGGCCATGACAAATGTGTCTTTGTTTAGCTTTAGGCCACACTGAGGAGAAATCTCTTCTGTCAGGTCCAAGATAAGTTTAGAGATTGATAATTGTCTGTGGAATATGTATCTTGCAACTTGACAAACACAGTTGTAACTTCCTACTTTTCTGGGCTAGCAACCCTCTTTTCCAGATTAGAGATTTGCTGTGATTGGCTCTCCCTTCTCCATCAAACCTCTCTCTCTCCTTCCCTGCTGAGATTTCCAGCAGACTCTCCACTGTGGATTGCCAACTTCATGTTTGTTCTTCAGAATCTCAAAGCCGTGCAAGCTATCAACGATAATACTGCTTAGATAAAAATACAGCAAGCCCTCCTGTGGCGTATGCCTTTTGTGCCAGCTTGCTAACTTGATCCTCGTGTGCGTTAATTTTGAGAGGCATCTCGTTCTCTTGCTCTGCAAAATACCCATCAGCCTCAAGCTTTTCGTCCAAGTGTTTCATATAGCCAAATCTCCAGTCGCTCATGGCCTGCCAAAAAGCCAGGCAACGAATGTGCATGGATTTGGATCATCGTAGCCGAGCCTGCATCTCTTGCTGAGCATGAATGAGCAGGTCCCTTCGCAACTCCTGCAGTCTACAAACCTGCACCAACAAAGAAACAACAAATTCCATGGTCATCAATGGTCCATGTTCCAGCGGAATCCTTCAACGCATCTTTGAGCTGCACGTGCTCTTTCTGCACCTCTGGAACAAAACAAACATGATAGAAAGACCTCCTTTGGCAAATCTTTGCTTTCTTTCACAGACCTCCTTGGGTTCACGAAGCCTGCCCGGCCTGTCCCCACTCTTTGTGCATCTGCTCTCTTGCATGGAGTGCCGAGGAGGCTTCATTTCCTTTTCTGATCGAATTCATGCCATTCAATTCTCTGGGTCTAGGCGCTTTATTGCTTGGCTCAAATGCGTCCTGCTTCATTTGCATCAGCTTCAGATCTCAAAAGATTGGCCAGCGCGACATTGGTTGACTCCTCCCCGAGTCTGAAGACTCGAGTTTGCAGACAATCCGCCGGCCTGCCGGCGTGTTTTGTGGATTGTTTTGGTTAGTATTGCTTGTATTCGTTAGTATTGCTTGAGTATTGTCTCTCCGCGCGAGATTTTCGACAGCCTGACGCCCCCCCCCCCCCCCCCCCCCCCCGCTCCCCGGTAGTGGTGGTGGTAGTAGTAGTAGTAGTAGCAGCAGTAGTAGGTAGTAGGTAGTAGGTAGTAGGTGGTACGTAGTAGGTAGTAGGTAGTAGGTCGTAGGTCGTAGGTCATAGGTCGTAGGTCGTAGGTCGTAGGTCGTAGGTCGTAGGTAGTAGGTAGTAGGTAGTAGGTCGTAGGTCGTAGGTCGTAGGTAGTAGGTAGTAGGTGGTACGTAGTAGGTAGTAGGTAGTAGGTCGCTGGATCAGAATAGACAACCATTGGACTGAGACATGTCGATCGCTGGATCAGAATAGACAACCTCTGATTCGGATTCGTTCCATTTCATTGTAAAACGACTTCGCTTGAAATCCACAGCAACAAACTCTCCCAGCAAAATGTGCAACTCCAATGCACCCACAAGTCTGATTGAGCAGGGTATTGTTGTTCGATGTCATTCTTTTTTTTTCCAGCCATACCTCGCGCCGACCTGGTCCGGACGGGCTTATTGCAAGGCGTTGGCACAGCCAAAGAACGGTAATTAAAAATCTCTGTTCAATGCGGCTGCATATATTCTTGCATCATCGGTGTTTTCATCGAAATTATGATGTCTCAAAACGTTTTCGTATGCAAATTTCTTTGTGATATGCAGCCAGTTTTGCCTCGGTTTCCCAACTCGTTTGGTGCCGTAATCAACTCTGGATGCAGTGCTATCAACGAATGATACTTGTCTCATGGGGTCATCATTACTGCTTCTAATTATATGCCCGAGTAATTTACATCTTCTGTTCATATGGTAATCACTGAAAGGTATAATTTGTCTGTTATCGCCCCGAGTTGGGAAGGCAATGGCAGTTGCTTCCTCAAGAATCTTTTGATTCGTACATGACCGATCTATGAAAGTAGGCGGTCTTTTGAGAATCTTTCTCAAGCTTCTTAATTGGAAAGCATCTAGTGATTTGCTTAGCGCCTGGGTTAAATGTATAGTTTCCAACCCATATAAAGCTTACTCCGGATTATGGCATCAAAAATGATTAGCTTCCACTTTTCGCTGGCTCCAGAAGCTTTCCAATAGGCGCTGAGCTTGAACCAGGTCCTTCTGACCTCTGACATTTTATTGAGGATTTCATGTTTTATATTTACTGTCCTGTTTATCTCATTTCCAAGATACATGGCCTCAAATTCTTTGTTCAAAGGGGTCCCGTCATGAAAATGAATACAACCGTCGTTGTTCATAGTGATAGCAACACATTTGTTTTTATTGAGACCAAGTCCGTATCCACTGGAGATTTTCTCTGTCAATTTCAGCAATTCGTTTAATGCTCGGTTGTTCCGTGAGAAAAGTACAGTGTCATCTGCATAATAGATCATGTCAAAATTAACCCCTGGGATTTGATTATTTGTCACATAAGCGGAAATACTTTGTTGAACGTCAATGTCGATGCAGGTCATGACTAATACAAATAGGAAAGGTGACAGTAGGCAACCTTGTCGGATCCCAGAACATTGAACTTTAAAATCGGAACAACCGAATTCGTCCTTGACATAAAACTGAGGCTTTGCATAACAGTCTGCGATGACTTCTGTATACTGCGAATTGAAACCCTGTCGGCCAAGGGCAACAAGAAGCTTGTCATGTTGAATTTTATCGAGTGCTTTTTCCCAATCTAGGAAGGCAATGCTCAGCTTCGCCCCCTTAATTTCGGAATAATCTTGAATTCGTCTGAGAATATAGATGGCATGTGAAGTAGACTTGCTGGGCCTGAAGCCGTACTGGGTTTTAGACAGTAGATGCTCTGTGGCTGCCTGCATTCTGGTCCTGATCATCACCATGTATATTTTATAGAAACTGTTGAGTAAGGAGATTGGTCTGTAATTGGAAGCAATATCTGTATCCCCTTTCTTGAAGATAGGGACAACACGGGCCA